CAGCTGAGACTCTTTCTCGGGCTGTCAGCCCGGCCCTTCTCCCCACCCTTCCACACCTTTTCTTTCTGTTGTGCCAAGACGCCACTATTTTCCTTACCTCCAAAGTGTGTCTTGACATTTGGAAGTGTGTTTCTACTGACATACGCTATTAAAATATAGTTTAGGAGACAAACAGGCAAAACTGGGGGATGGGGCTAGGGGAGACGGTGCCTCCGAAATTCACTGTGAACTGTTTTGCTAAATGCACCAGCTTCTGCTGAGATGGAGAGAGCTGCATCCATAGCCCTGGGGCTGGTGCGTGCGTGTGCGCCTTCCTTCCGAAGCTGTTCCCCGCCGGCAACAGCATGTGGCGTTGCAGGCCCAGGGAAGTCCGCCTCGCGCCGCAGGGCCGCTGCTCCAGCTGCAGGCTTGGCTTTCCTGGCCCTGCCTGTGGCTCAGGACCGCCCAGCTGGTTCCTAACAAGGACGGATGCTTCTGGGCTTGCGGCCTCCAGATGTTGGAAGTGGTAACTACTGGGTTTATTACCTCCCACCAGGCCTCCTTCCAAAGGCTGAGAGACTGAGTGGGTGAAGTTAGTTTAGAATCCACAGGCGCTCAGTGGGGAGGGGAGTGGACAGGGGCTTCCACCCTGGGCAGAGCCTCCTGTGCTGGGGGAGGAGACTAGTAGGGGGTTGTTCATTCTTAAGCCCTATTGAGACAAAGGCTCTAGGCCAGAGCTGGCCAACTGGGCAGGGCTGCAGTCTCTCACCAGGAGAGTCTGCCCCCCATTTTCCCTCGATGTCTCTGCCACCTGCAGTGGGGGCTCCGGAAATGGGTGAGGGGAGGCTCAGGAAGCATATGCCCTCTGCATCTGGGCCTGGAGAACCGGGTCCTGTGTGGCCTCGACGGTAGGGACATCCTGGCTGGGGGGTGGGGCATACGCCCCAGAGACTATTTTCCCGCATAGAAACACCAGTCACCACCCAATCCCCTCCCTGCCTGCACCCCGCCCTCTCTACACTTTCTCCTTCCCCTGAGTCAGGCTGTAGAGCACACAGGGGAGCGGGGGGGGGGCAGATCTGGCGCTGTAGGGGGTACTGTCGGCATGGGTGGGCCCGCTGCCTCACCTGCTTTCACGGAGCAGTGGATGTGCGCCTTGGACTCGTAGTAGACCCAGTCAAAGCCGGCCTCCACCGCCAGGCGGGCCAGCATGCCGTACTTGCTGCGGTCGCGGTCCGACGTGGTGATGTCCACTGCACGGCCCTCGTAGTGCAGGGACTCATCTGAGTGGTGGCCATCCTCGTCCCAGCCCTCGGTCACCCGCAGCTTCACGCCTGGCCACTGGTTCATCACGGAGATGGCCAAGGCATTCAGCTTGTCCTTGCACCTCTGCGGAGAGAAGGGGGTGCCCCGCGGACGTGAGCCTCTCCCCGGTGTGGGCTGCTCTGCGCAGTCCCCCAGGATGACGGCGGTGCGGAGAAGCAGGGGTCAGGGCCTGGACCTGGGCTCAGCCAGTGCAGGAGAGAGGGCACGCGGGTGGGAGGGGGGCGCATCTGCACGAGGCGCAAGTCGTCTGGGAGGTGACCTGAGGGCCTTTCTCCAAGTCTGCAATAGCAGAGCTCCTATCCTGGCATGAGAAGCAGATGACATTTCTTTGGAAAAAGTAAACTGCGTGTTTTTGGACCAGGACTGCAGACCCCTCCAGGAGCACCCTAGCCTATGCCCACATCCTCCTCCAAGACACCGTCCATGCCCCTGCCCTCTCTGTGGCCCCCGCTCTCTGCAACTGTGCAAGGCTCCACCCATCTCCCTGGGCAGACACCCTTGCCAGGAGGCCAGAGAGAGGCCCAGGGTGCAACTCCAAAGAAAAAAGAAAAATACACTGCTTCTAAAAGAATGAGAAGCCTGACCTTATCTGTGTGCACTCCCTCCTGCCCTGTGCCTGTCTGAGGTGAGAATTAAGCCAAAGGTGGGAGGGGGGAGCTGATAGCAACCTAAGGGGTGGGGGAGCCAGCAGTGGAGGGCAGCCAGGTGAGTTATAATTTTCAATACGGCCAGGGCCGGATGACAAACATTCTTTATCTGGACAGCCACATTCCTTTTCCCCGTGGAACTCTTTTCTCCTGGCCTTTCTGTGGTCTGATTGTGTCTCTTGTTTTCCTTAACCTGTTCCCCGCCCCCCCCTCTTGTTTTCTTGGCCGGCACAGAATGGTGTCCTGCAAGTTTGAAGAGCAAACTTAAGAGGTGGAGGAGGGGATGGGCTGGGAGGGGTGGGGGATGGGGAGCCAGAGAGGCCTGCAGCCTCGGAGCTCTGGCCTTGGGGAGCCTCCTTCTGGAAACTGCCCTAGTGTCCCCCCTACCCCACAACAAGGAAGCTGCCTGTAGGAGTAAAGAGACAGACTAGGCGGGACTCCCGTCAGGGTAGAGTTGTGGGAATTCCTGCGGGATTCTCGGGTCCCATTTAGAAGGGGATGCGAGAAAAAGCTGAATCGTGTGTGTGCAGATTCTGTCTCACTGGACATTTACACTGCAGCCGATGGGGTGCGGGATTTAAAAGAGGGGAAGTGGTGACACGGTCATGATGGGGGCATCCCCCGGAGAGGTAGACCGGAGGCGGGTAGGCAGCAATCCCAAGCTGCCTTCTGCAGAGGGCAGGACTGGTCTCCAGGCGGGGCGATGCTCTGCTTGGGACCCGCTTACCGAGATGAATAGACGGCCCCCAGCGAGGACCCTAATTGTAGAGCGGGGAAGGGCTCTTCCAACAGAGTGGGGGAGAGGCTCTGGCAGAGACTGCTGCAGGTTTTAATGGGATGTGACCGATTGCGCAACAGGAAAAGTCCTGTGCATTTGACAGCAATAAAAACCAGTATATGGTTGTAGAGTTAAACATACAAATGTGTGTGTGTGTGTGTGTGTGTGTTGGGGGATGGGGGTGGGGAGGTGGAGCAGAGGGCTGGGGGCGGCCCTAGTTAACAGGTCAGCGCTTGCAGGTTTCTGGTCCTGCCAACAGTTTTCTTAAAAAAAAAGGCAGAGTTTGAGTGAGGTCATCTTGAGGATTGAATGCGTTTTACATGAAAATCAATCAGTAAACCAGGGTCAGTTTAGAGCGGGGACGTGAAACCGGCTGCGCAGGCGCACACTACCGACGCGCACACGCAGACACTCGCATCCCGGGCCCCCATCCCACTCCAGCTCCCTGCTTTGGGGGCTCAGATGAAGCTTTCCGCAGCTTCCCCCGAGGCGGCTGGCGATGGGGAGGGCAGGATAGGGAGGACCTGTACCAGAGCCCAGAGT